GCTCACAATGGCGAGGTGCGCACCTCCAGGCTGCTGAGTGAGCGCGATGCTCCCAAGCACAGGCTGCTGCTGCTGGTCAAGGACAATGGCGACCCTCCTAGGTCTGCCAGTGTCACTCTGCAAGTGCTGGTGGTGGATGGCTTCTCTCAGCCCTACCTGCCTCTGCCTGAGGTGGCGCCCGACTCAGTGCAGGATGATGATTTGCTCACACTCTATTTAGTCATTGCCTTGGCGTCAGTGTCTTCACTCTTCCTCTTGTCTGTGCTGCTGTTCGTGGGGGTGAGACTGTGCAGGAGGGCCAGGGAGGCCTCTCTGGCTGTCTGCTCTATGCCTGAGGGACACTTTCCTAGCCACCTAGTGGATGTCAATGGCATGGGGACTCTGTCCCAGGGCTACTACCAATATGAAGTGACTGGAGACTCTGCGACCACAGATTTCAAATTCCTGAACCCTATTATTCCCAATAGTCTGTTTCAGGAACCCTAGCTGAATTTTAGTTTCAGGGAGAGCACGGTTTCGATACCTGAATCAGATTCAGTTGGTTGGCTATTAGTATTTTCCTTTTGTATTCAGTAATCTTTCCTTCTGTCAACATATTTCTATGTTTATTTCATTGTTTGTTAATAGTGTATTGGGGGGTGCTATGCTTCCTGTTTTATCAATACAACCTTAATGCATCTTTTCTTTTACTAATTTGGGGGGTTATCTTTGCTGTGTTTCTCTGGACATATCAAATAGGAACTCATTTCTTCTTCTGCATTGATAACCAGGATGGATTTCTACACCGCCCTTTTTGAATCGTATTTTATTGATGCTATGTAGATAACCTGCTTTGCTGTATTCATTTTGATTTTTACTTTCATTGCAGCTTGTTCACTGTACAATTACAGCATTTATTGTGGCATTTTTAGAGATACACATACCATACCTTGATAACATTCCCCTACTTATCACATTCTTTACTTCTCTTGTTTTTTTCCCCTTTGCACTCTGGAATGCCCCATTTTCTCACATACGTCTTGTCTTTTAGAGGGTGACTGCTTTGCTCAAATGATCTTCAGTGCCATGTCCTTCAAAATGATGATTTCATTCTTCTTGATGCCTGGACAAAGTAACTCCATTGTGCATGTGTGTGTTTTCCTCACCCACACTTCCGTTACGATGGCAACACAGCGTTGTGTGTAGCTCATGAAGTGTGAGCAGAAGAGAGAGTCACCTGTCAAGAGTTCTACATGTTTCATACACAAATGGTAGTAGTGTGTTGTTTAATTTATCATCTTTAGTGACAACTACAATTAGTATTTCAGGATTTTGTTTGCTTATATACAGGCCAAAATTGCTTTAAAAATGTACCATAAATAATGTTGCTTGGCCTAAGTCATTGCAAGTGACTGAGTGTGCTTTCACTTTGTATGAGAAGACATTTAGTGAGGCTCCTGTTTGGATGACACTTGCTGGTTGTAAATGAGGGCATGTTAAACTTTCCATAAAATATTCAGATGAATGGCTTTTAAATGTCTTTTTTCTTTTTATTATTAATATTTACTTGCCACAAATAGGGTGACTTAGGGAAACTATTTCCATTGGGGCCTGTCAACGGTCCTACCAACAGGTTCCTTCCTTCCTATTTCAATCTGCCATGATGTAGAATTATTTGGGGATGAGATCTGTCTATCCACAACAGTATTCTACCTACAACATTGTAATTAAACAGTGTACAAATATAGGAATTTATAATAGAAAAAACATATCATTGGGGAAGTTTAAATTTTCTACAATCAAAAAGAACACCTGAAAGCAACCAAAACCACAAAATATGGCTATTTTGAGTGAATTTTTTTTAATTTACACATAAAAAATTTTTCTTGGTTAAATTATTATTATTATTATCTTTTTTGAGACAGGGTTTCTCCGTGGCTTTGGAGGCTGTCCTGGAATGAGCTCTTGTAGTCTGGAACTCACAGAGATCTTCTTGCCTCTGCCTCCCAAGTGCTGGGATTAAAGGTGTGCACCACCACCACCCAGCTGGTCAAATTATTTAAATATCACTTTTCATATTTTATCATCCAGACATATCTATCCAGTGTTTGAGTGTTTTGTCTACAAGAAAGATAATTGAATTCATATAAAGTTGAAAATTGTTTTGGATACTCTGAAAAGTCAAGAATTTAATACTGATATGCTCTTAAGCTCTAGCAGGTGGAGTTGTATAGTTGTAAGCACACATAAATGCTTTCAGGAGCTGGGGAACCACTTTCCAAGCAGGAAGCTCTCCAGTACAAAAATTTTATGTAAATGAGCTTTGTAGTATGAATTCTGAATAATGGATACATTACTAAGTGCAGGACTATGGAGAGTTAATATTTGTATACTGCTAACTACTGTTGCACTTTGTGGCATTTTACAAACTGCAAGTCGGATATCAGCAAAAGAGATGGTTTTGTCAATCAAATCTCTAGTAATAAGTTTACTAACATTTATGTGCAAGTTGGTATTACTGATATTTCAATGATTGAAGAGGAAACAAAATTAAACAAAAATTGAGTCTTCTGACTGCTAAATAACTTCAGTAGACATTAAATAAAATGAAAGTGTTTTTTTTTTACTTATAGTTGAGCCTGTAATACATAACACAATGTCTCATTCAAAACAGGTGCTCAATTTGTGGTCATTGGATAATAAACTTGCAACATTTAGGAACTCAATGAATTTTCTGAGGACTTGAAGATTTATCTCAAACTTGTTTACACATCAAATTTCAGGAGAACAATCCATATTCAGGAAAGGGAACAACAATTTAATTTTGTCAGAATAACACCAATCTCTATGGATCCAGTTTCTCTAAAAACTCAGAGAACTGTAAAATAATGCATTAATCTCTAATTTAGTTCCATATTGAGCTTATTAATGTCTTTGATTGGTGTTGGGAAAGATCAAATACAAGATTTTTCTGTCCATTCATTTAACTGTCAGAAATCTCTTTTTAGAGTCCTTTGTCTCTAATTGGTGCTCCTATTGACCTCTGTTTACTATTAAAGCATCAACAATAATTGAAAAAATTCAAGATAGAGATTCAATCATTAATTTTCAAAACATAATATCATTCAGGATATACTATCCCTCATTTTTTCTATAAACACATCAATTCAGAAATTTAATTACTTTCTTGAAAAACCCACTGTCCAATTTTAGTCCATAACAACAGCTTGGTTAACCATATACTTAAGAATGAAAATATTTTTCTACTGCTCTTCTGTCATTCAATACTGTTGATTACAAGTGTGGTGTCATCCAGCTTCTTGGTCATTATATGTAAATCCCTTTTACTTCCACACTTGACTTCCCCCAAAAACAGAGAAATGAAAAGCCTCATTTTACTTTAGATTATTTCATTTATTCATCAAGTTCTGACCATTGCTATTTAAGAATGTAAGTCATGTAACACACTACATTGTTCTAGTAGTTCTGATCTTTTAAAAAGGTTCCACTTGGCATATTTTCATAGCAACTAGTACTTACCTCACAGTTGTCATTTCCTACTTTTGATTTAACCAAATAAAATTTCTTTCACTTACAGTCTTTCCATGTGGTTACAAATCTCTATGTCCTAGGTGAGAGAGCAAAACTGAACCTGTCCAGTCATTTTTTTCCATGGCCTTAGTCATCCTCAGTGATGTTTTTAATCAGCTTCTTACCTTCTTTAGGAAGTTACTTCATACTGTCCTGGCTTTAATGGTCTTTAAAAGAGATATTGGAGGTCTCGTGGGAGTTTGCACTCTGGTTGCAGTAGATCCAAGCCTTAATTAAAAGGGTTGACTCAACTTAGATACACATGGGTAGAAGTTCTATTTCACTCCTAAAGTTGTGTGTGAGACCCAACCTGCCCAGGGGCTTATAATTCTGCATTTTCTCTACGTAGCAACAGCCTTAGAAAATCTCACCTTCTTCCTGGCTGTTGTTATGTCTTTAAGTGTTGTTATGTCTTTTAAGCTAGAATGAATCCTGGTGAAAATATTTTTTTACACAACTGATGAGTGAAAAACCATGTGCAAAACCAGGTGGGATGGTGAATACCTTGAGTCTCAACATTGGGAGGTAGAAGCACATGAATCTCTGGGAGCTAGATGCTTTCCTAGTCTACAGCATGAGTTCCACGAAGCCAGGGCTACACAGAGCAACCCTGTCTCACAAGGAAACAAAACAAAGCAATGCAAAGCAATAACAGCACCACCACCACACCACACCACACCACACCCCCACACACATACACACACCCACACACACACACACCCCCACACACACACACACAGAGAGAGAGAGAGAGAGAGAGAGAGAGAGAGACTCACAGCTGTAATCTAGGCAATAAGTGTACAAACTTGATAGTGCCCTAAAATAGTAAGCTACAACCCAAAATTCCTTTTCTGAATGAGCAGTTGCTATATATAGACTCTTGTGAAACTTGAAATTAACTTGATCCTTCAAAAGCAATTTCCTCCTCATAAAACCATATATCAAACATTACTGTTGTATTAATAAAGATCAGATCTGCAACTACTGAAAAATTCATTTATGGTAGTAAACTGTGACAAAACCAGGCAAATATAACAACAGGAGAAAAAAGTATAGATCCATTTGCCTTATTGGCATTGATTGGAAAAGCCTCAACAAAATACTGGTAAACCAACACCAATAACAGAGGAAACCATACTCCATATCTATAAAGGATTTACCAAGGAACATATTGGCTCGACTTTAAAAAATCAATACTGAAATATGCCTTGTGTACAAAATGACACAATTGTCTCAGTCCATGCAGAAAACACTTTAGAAAATTTAATAACTGGAAAAGGAAAACATCTATGTACTTATAGGTGACATGGCCTCACATCCTAAGTAATCTACAAAAATACTAACGTAAACAAATTCATCAAGTTTGAGGTACACAAAAATCATCATCTTAGAATTAACTATTTCTGCACATTAGCATCAGACAAACTGGAAATGAAGAAAAGTCTGTTGGAATATAAAGAAACAAGTTGCTTAAAAAGGTAGCCGACAAGTGTGTAGATGAATTTCATACAGAACACAGACAACATTGACGTAAACTACAGAGGGCCTATGTAAGGAGGAAGTGTAGTGGACTGGAAGACTCTATATTGTAAATATTACCCTCAAACTAGTGAATGATTTAATGGAATTCTTACCAAAATACCAGTTTGCTTTTTTCCCAGTTCTTAAGTGCCTTTAAATTTTTCATGTAAAAACGCAAGGACTTCTGGATAGCCAAAAAATAATGAAAGAAAAACAAATTTAAGGAAATATTCTAAATTAGGAATAACACAATCAAATATTTGGATGATTTGTATGTGTTAAATCCATAAATATTATTTTGCATTTTAATACAGAAAATATTTGCTAGTTGTTTTAGATTGCATCAAAAATGTATAGCGTCAATCTACTTCAAATACTTCAGAATTGGAAGACTAGCTAGTTTTACATGTTAGTTAGCTCTCAACAGTGTGCACTACGTGGTTTGTAATTATTGGACTTAGGTGGTTAGCTGATGAATGAATTAGATCTATGCACCTGCATTTGTGCATTGAGGAATTTCAAAAGGTAATTCCCTTTATAATAATTTATACAAACTGTTGGTATTAACCATGTAACTCTGCTTTATAGCACTTTAAGAGAGTACTTTTAGAAATATGATTTCATGTTTTGCTTAGCTGATTATTCAAAGCTTAAACAAGTGTTCCAAGACTATCAATGTCTTCTGGTTTCTGTTCATGGTTCCTCTCATGAATAGTAGTCGACAACTTTACCAATTATGAAGGTTAGGGCAAAAAGAATGTTGGGAGAAAAAAAAAAAACTATATACACTTTCAACATGGCAGTAATTTGGACATTAAAATGGTGTTTGACATTAAAAGGTGTTTTGACTCTAAACTAGAACTGTTTCAATTTCCTCAAAAAGACACAGGGTGGCGCTGCAGGCTAAGATTGCGTTTTAAAAGCACTAAAATACTAGGAATCTCTTGCAGCAATACAGAACAAAAGAGGATCGCCAAGAGCTTTACAAGCACTTGGGAGCTATGAAGGGGTTTGGGCAAGGATATACTGGATTAATGTAAGATTAAGAGCAAAATTGTGAAGATCCCTCCGAAGAAGAAACCTGAACCCAGCATTTCAAAACATTTGGAGACCACTAAAGGATTGGATGCAAACACTTTCCCAACATGGAGAAACTGGAGAGAATTCACCCAAACAGGCAAGTCATGGCTTTTATCTTTATGCTGGTTTTGGCTCAGGTTTGCAGTGAGCAAACAACTCGGTACTCTATCTTGGAGGAAACAGAAAGTGGCTCCTTTGTAGCCCATCTGTCCAAGGACCTGGGCCTGAGATCTGGGGAACTGACAGCCCGCTCTGCACGGGTGATGTCTGATGATTACAAGCAGCTACTTCAGCTGGATCCTGAGACAGGAGATCTGCTTCTGAGGGAGAAACTAGACCGGGAAGAGCTGTGTGCCTCCATGGAGCCCTGTGTGCTATATTTCCAGGTGTCTCTTGAAAAGCCAGTGCAGTATTTTCAAGGAGAATTGCTGATCCAGGACATAAATGACCACTCACCAGAATTCCTAAATAGGGAAATGCTCTTGAAAATACCAGAAAACAGCCAGCCAGGCTCACGGTTCTCACTGAAATTAGCTCAAGACTTGGATGTGGGCAGCAATGGGCTTCAACAGTACACAGTCAACTCCAACTCACATTTTCATGTCGTCACTCGAAATAACAGTGAAGGCAAAAAGTACCCGGAATTGGTGCAGGACAGAGCCCTGGACAGAGAGGAGCAGGCAGAGATGAG